GGTGTCAGAATTGCCACGGCGCGATCCATCTTATAAGTCACATGTTGAGCCAATGCAGATATTTGCGGTGGCCGCCTGGGGCCGTATGTTAACAACCCGCTTATTGGAACAGGGGTTAAACGATGGCTTTTTCTGCGCTGTTCCAGTCACGGTCATCCTTGGGCTGGCATCCGTGGGCTCTTCACGGCTTGCGCGGCCACGGCGTCTCGTCCAGGGTTTCATATTGGAGGTTTGATGTGCAGGCGTCCCACCCTTTCGGCAGCTGTCCGTCCAGGACGTGGGCCCGAAAACCTCTGTAGTTTGGTTCCGGGGGGTGGTCGAGTATTGACTCCGGGGCCAGCTCGCTGGTCGCCTCGAGGTGCCCGAGCTGCAGAATAGGATGCGGCCTCATTCCGTTCAGAGACGTCTGATATTTCCTTCCCATTATACAGCGTGGATATTTCACGAGTGTTGTTTCACGGGGGCCAGCGGCCGCAGCACAGGCAATGGGAGGCTAAGTTGATTAGTGGCCCCATGTGCGTAGCGCGCGGCGTTTCGTCTGATATTTTGTTGCACAGGCACGCACCGTGTGGCATGCATGAGGAGGCCATGGATGGAACCAACATCCTTTCCTACCTTCCCTCGCGTGCGGCTGTTTAACCTTTCCCTTTCTTTTTTGCTGAGAGGGTTGTTGCCGCGTGTTGATACCCCTCCCTGCAAGCCCGTGCTCGATAAATGGTTTGGAACAGGTCCCGAGGCGATGGCAGGACATATTTTCCTGGACGGCGGCTGGATGGACCAGCGTTTCGCCGCCCACGCGCAGGCCGTTGCGTGGGCCATCGTCTCGCTCCGCCCTTTTTTCCAACGGAGTGCTGTCCGTTATGTATGTGTGGCAAGTTGCACGAACTGTATCAGGATATAGATTACGCCGAGCTGTATGCTTCTGACCGCGCACTGAAACGCGCATGTCCAGGTTCCACGCTGTACATTGACACGTCCTTCGTGTATAATGGATAATGGTTTCCACGACCGAGGAGAACGAGAGTGTTGTGGCTCCCGCAGTGCATGGTCCGAGTTGTGGCGTGCCGTTTTGGGCCAAGGTCCATGACTGGGGAGGCCCAACCGAGGCGTGTTTCAGGAACGTTAATGGGCATCTCACGCTGGCTAGGGTTCAACTTGGCCTCGGCAGTGCTAACGAGAAGGCCGGCAACGAAGCAGCTGATTCGCGTGATCAGTGGTCGGCGTCGCGAGTTCAGATTGACCAGTCCTACAGGGACCAGTTTTAAGAAAGGCCAAAGTCTTGGCTGACTATCGCGGGTGGCTGGCCGGGGTGGGCGCTTGTTTCGCCAGGTTTGATTGTAAGCGATTTAAGCCTGAGCAGAAACGGTCTCGACCGTTTCCTGAACAGCCCATACACACGGTGGAGCCACCTCCTCCTGTCCCCACCCATCGCCTTCTCCTGCGCGCCGATGCTGCACATGTGGAGGGAGAAGGCATGTCGTGCATGTTTTCCAGTAGACACTGGCGTGCGGTGCATTGTCTGTGCTGCGTGTGGTCTCGGAGGCGTCAAAGTGCCCGCTCGGCTTTCGCAAGAGTGCAGTGGGACTCCCGAGGCTGGCTCCCGTGGTGCGCGCGTGCTGATGAATCTCGCGCGTGCGTTCGTCAGGTATGGTTAGAATAAGACTTGGCACTTTCCCCGCCGACCTTTTCGAACCGGTGGTCTGATACGTGTTGGTGCAGTCGATTTCTTTTGTGTCGCTTAATTTGTTGTTGTTGTTGTTGCTGTTGTTGTTGTTGTTGTTTTCTGGTGTATGTTTTCGAGGAGTGAGTTGGAGTGAGTGGTGGCGAGGATGGCACGGGCCCAATCAGATGGTTGCGCCACCCAGTCAGGTCAGAGTGCGCTGCGAGACCCATCGTGGCGGCAGGTTTGGTCGAGGAGGACAAGCCTGCATCGGGAGGACAAGCCTGCATCGGAAGGGCTTGGGGTATCTCGATTATGGAGTTTTTGCCTTGCGAAGCCGAGTCGAGATTCCGAGTGGCGCCTTTTTGGCAGGGCCCCGTTTGCGGGGACGCCGAACAGGCGCACGAGCGAGGCAAACCGCAACAAATTGTTAAAAACAATGGTCAGGGGACGATGTTTTTTTTTTGTTTTGTTTTTTTTAAGTGTTGCCTATTTGGGAGTAGTTCTTTTGCTATGTTTCGTGGTTTCTCCAAAATCCGCCCGTACGAGGACGCGCCCGACCTAAACCAATGTATCCCCTATCCCCATGCCGACCGGGCCATGGCATCTCAGCCCCGCCATCCCACCATCCCAGTTGGGGACAGGCCTTTCGAGGCCCGCAGGGAGCAGCGTCTGTTCCCACCTTGGGGAGGGGGCACGTCGGTCGCGGGGTGCGTTGCGATACTCGATACATGCTGACCTGAGCGGTTCGGCCGCCTCGGATTGTTGCGAGGTCGCGTCGGGGGGGGGGGGTACACTGACGAAGGCAACGACGATGATGACGATGATGATGATGATGCTGATGATGATGATGATGATGATGATGATGATGATGATGATGATGATGAGCAGGAGGGAGGAGAGTAACGGAGGAGGGGGAACAGCAGGAGGAGTAAGAGGAGCAGGTTCAGGCAGTTGCTGCGGCGACTCTTGGGAAACCGCCAAAATACCGTCATGCATGTATTTATATACACCAGTGTGAATGCATGTCTATACCCATACATATATATATATATACATGTGCACATACATACATCCATGCATACATACAGACAGACACACCGACAGACACACATACATACATACATAACACACACATACATACATACATACATACATACATACATACATACATACATACACATACACATACACGCATACCCACATACACATACATACACATACATACATACATCCATATACATCGAGAGAGAGAGAAACAGCACCAACATCACATCCGCAGTGTTGGGGCCATCTTGCTTTGTTGCGAGGTTGCCCTGGGGCGGATTGGTCGCCCTGGGGCGGATTAGGAGTACGCTATCACATGTGACACCTGTCGTTTCCACGGGCTGAGGATGTCTCGTGGAGCTTGGGGTGTATGGTTCATTGGAGCTGTCTGACAGCATGGCGCATGCTGCCGTCGTATGTGACACCTCTAGTGTATCGGATATATGCTGGGTTTATGTGTGTTCGTCTTGGGCGGGGACAACAGGATGATAATCTTGCCTATGTTGAAGATAAAAACGAGGAATGACGTCACATGGGTCATACATCGCGATCCGCGGAACACTTCTCAATCGACGCTATATGGATTCAATGTTGCGACAATGTGGGAACGACCAGCAAGCCGTCACTTGTGACACATCGCTCAGGTTCGGGCGTTCTTGGGCTGTCCTTGGGGGGCTCTATCAGACTGTCTTGCGGCTTTCGTGGCTGTTTCGAACGATGCGGCATGTACTGTGTATTGTGCCCGTTCATGCAACGTCCCGAAGTCCGTCACATGTGACATTTCGGTTGTTTTGGGGCTATCGTGCACTGCTGTAATGCTTTTCTGGACGGCGGCGGATTTGTCGGAGGCAGCTGGAGGAATGCCCAAAAAGCCGTCACATGTGACACACATCGGGCTTATTTGCCATCTTGGGTTGCTCAGAGGCTGTCCTGGGGCGGAGTATGAGGATGAAGGACATGTTGAGGATGCGCAGGGTGATCAAGAGGAGAATGGTCAGGGGACAGACTTCAGCGTGGCGATGTTTGGAACAGCGCCCAGTCACATTGGGGCCGTCCTGGATTGATTTAAGGCCGTCCTGGGGCGGAGTAGGAGGATGACATAACGAGTGAGAACTTAGAGGAGAAGGAGGAGGAGGAGGAGGAGGGGGAGAGTCGTCACATGTGACACCTTTCGCCCAACTGTCTGGGGAGCCTGATGTCGTGTCGTTGGGGCTGTCTTATGTTTGTCTTGCGACCAATAGAGGAAACTCAGACGGCGTCACATGAGGCACATTGGTCGTCTTAGGGCATTATATGGACTGTCTTGGGGTTATATGAGGCTGTCTTAAGGATGCGTAATCTTGACGATCTTGTTTTGAAAAGTCACTGGTTGTTCCGAGCGCAACGAGATACATTTTATTGTGGCGATGGTACGGGAAACGCCCACAAGCGGCACCCCGGTTGCCTTGGGGCCATGTGTATTTTTATCATGTTTTTTTTGGACGGAGAATGATGGACGCAATCGTGACGACGGTGATGGTGTTGGTGATGGTGATGGTGGTGATATTGATGCTGATACTGATGCTGATGCTGATGCTGATGCTGCTGATGATGATGCTGATGTTGATGCTGATGATGATGCTGATGCTGATGAAGATGACGATGACGATGATGGTGACGATGATGATGATGGCGAAATAACGAGGAAGAGGCGGAATATGAGGAGGATAATGAAGAAGGAGGTCGTCACAGGTGGCATCTCTTCGTGCTTTCATTGGACTGTCTGCGACCTGTCTCTGGTCGGCGATGGAGATGTATGGCAGCATCGGTTGTCTTTCTGCACAACCGCCCAGTGTCGTGCGGCGGTAGGACGTCTTCCCCCAGATCCTTGCATGGAACGGAACAGTCATCATAACATTTTCATATGGGCCCTATTGAGCCGGTGCGAGGCACTCATTTGCTATGTGCGGTGTGGGCCGTCATGTAGGCATTGTGGGGCATCTTGGCGGCCTTGATGGCTTGCCTGGGCCGTCTTGGAAGCTATCTTGAGCGCTTGGGACGCCTTGGAGAGCGCCAGGGAGCCGTCTGGCAGCCCATGGAGCCGCGCGAGGGGGGGGCGGTGCACGCACGCGAGTGTTCGTCGGGAGGTGGCGGGCCCCTCAGAAGATTACAGGGAACCCTGCCAGACACCGCGTGGCATTCTTCCGCGCCTCAACGTGCCCGGAGCACGCTGGCAGATTTCTTCTACCCGGGCAAGACAGACGAAGCGCGCACCATCTACACTGCGGCCCTGGCCTGCCTCTCCCACGGAATCATGCAGTACAACGAGATGTTGCGATGTGCCGTGGCACACGCAGGCAATGACCATCGCCTCGGAGCCCAGGAGGCGCCCCCGGCCATCATCTCGCTCTACCCTGGCACTGGCTTCGAGGCGCACGTGGACGCGGTTATCAATGGAGGCCCCCTGAATGAGTTCAAGGCCGAGAAGAAGCAGCAACCCACTGGCTGCAAGGCGTCTATGGCGGTCGAGTCCAACGTCGAGGACCGCAATCGCACGGCGCCCTTTCCCTTCTGCGGTAACCGCTACGAGTTCCGCGCAGTCGGTTCCTCGCAGAACTGCTCTTTCCCAGTGATGGTCTGCAACACGATAATGGCCGCGGGCATGAGTGCGCTCTCCGAGAAGATCGAGGGTGGCATGAAGGCGCGTGATGCCGTGGCCGAGATGTACAAGGAGAACCGCGACGTCATCTTCACGGGCAACGGCTACTCCGCCGAGTGGCCAGACGAGGCGGCCAAACGCGGTCTCCCCAACCTCAACACGACACCGAAGGCCATCAAGCATTGGGCCTCGGACAAAAACATCGAGCTCTTCGAGAAGATGGGCGTCTTCTCCAAGGAGGAGACCGAATCCAGGGTTGAGGTTATGTACGAGGCCTACAATACGACACTCAGCGTCGAGGTCAGCACCATGGTCGATATGGTCAAAACTGGATTCATTCCGGCTTTTGCACAGGACTTAGCCTTGTACAAGGACGCCCCCGACTTGTTGGGCGATCGCAAGAAGTTGTACGGTTCTGTGAAGACCGAAACGGAGGCATTGGAGAAGATGTTGGCTGAGGTTCCTCACGATCAGGCTGCAGAGGCCGAGTACCTGTGCGACAAGGTTAAGGCTCAGATGGCCAAGGTGCGTTCGTTGGTCGACGATGCCGAGGGCATGCTGGATAAGAGGCTCTATCCGTATCCGACCTACGAGTCCATGCTGTACCACCACCACCACTGAGGTCGAGTCGCAGCCTCTGCAAGTCTGCGTGCCAGCCCCCCCTTGCAGATGATGCTTGGCATCGCTCGGACGTGTGCGTTTTTTTTCCTCTGCGAGGACCATCGAGGAGCATCCTTGATCATTTGGCGAAAAAAACACGCACGAAACCGAAAAACACAGGGAATGGACGTCCGAGAGATGGCCAGGATGTGCCCCACCGCGCATCTCTGTGTCTCGTCCCCGCCATGTTTTCGAAACCCTCCATCCTCCCTGCAGTGCTGGCCATGTTTGCTGTCCTGGTGGAGCCAGGACTCCTAAGAAGGGATTCCAGGCGACATTCGTCTGGCCTTTTGCCGTGACGGATTTTATGCGGTAGGTTCGTGTCGTGTCGACCGGCGGCGACCCCTCCAGCGGCGTTTAACTTTGAACGCCGCGGGCGACCCAGAGTCGTTCGATGTGGAACGATTTGGACGTTTCGGAAACGGCCGATCGCTCAAGGTTGAACGATCCCCGCGGTGTCAGAAACCAACGCCGAAGTCGGCACGATACGAACCTGACGTAGTGGAGTTTTGGTGCCTCGGTGGAGCCGAGAGCCCGCGGCCGAGCACGGGGGCTCTTCGTAGAAGCTGGCCCCCGCTGCTGCTCGCCGTGCCCCCGATCCAGCACGCACTGCGGCCAGCCTAGAGGGTTGACCAAATGCAGCATTGCTGAACCTACCCTTGAGTCGAGCCCGTCCCTCTCCAGGAGGAGTACTCAAAAATAGTAAAAAATAGTACGGGGATGATCTTGTGCTTATTGTTGAGAAGTCATCGATTTCTAGTCTCTCGCCCCAAGCCCGCCTGTAGGGGGACACGCCCGACCTAAACCGATCCCCATCCCCACCCGGCCATGGCATCCCAGCACCACCGTCCGACCACCCCAGCCGGGGGCAGGCCCTTCGAGGCCCGCGGGGAGCAGCCTCTGCCCCCATCTTCGGGGAGGGGGCAGGTCGGCCAGTGGGGCCCAGGCCCCAGGCCGCGCCTGTGGGGACAGGGCTCGGCTACACGATGCATGCTCACAAGTGTGCTCCGTGCTCACTACCTGCTCCAGCGGCAAGCACTCTCGGATGCCACTCCTGAGAGGTCGGACTCTGACTTTGCCCTGGTCCGAAATCCGTCTTCATCCCGCTTGATCCCGTTTCGTCCCGCCGAGTCTGGCTCAATCCCGCCTACTCCGAGGCCCTTTCCGGCGTAACAGCCCCCCAATGGGAGGAGGAGGAGGAGGAGGAGGAGGCGGAGGAGGGCTTAATCCTCTTTACTCCTTCCGACGAAGGCCTCCCAGTAACTAGTTGCCTCTTGAAGCATGGAGCAGCGCCGTGCAGTGTCGAGCGCTGCGTGCCTGGATGGCCAGGACGGCACCGGACCTCACCAGAGAGGCCTCGCGGCCAGTCCCGCCGACGCCGAGTGGGGATCGAGGGTTGGCCCCGGGTGGGCGGCGAGGGGGCCGAAGAGCGCACGAGGGCCTGGCGTTAAGTCGGGCCTGTCCCTCTACCGGAGGAGTATCCACAAAAAGTAAAAAAACAGTCTGGGGACGATGTTTGATTATCTGTTGAGTAGGGTGGAGCATTCTTTGAGTCTGTTGTCTGTTTCGTCCAAAATCCGACTGTAGGGGGACATGCCCGACCTCAGCCTGGCGGCGATCATCCCGAGGACGGGCTGAGGAGCATCTCGAGACTGGAAAAGAGGCAGAACACTGCGCCACATCCCTGGGGACAGTGCGAGTGGCCGCTAATTCGTTCGTGCTCGCCCGATAAGAAGTCGGGCCTGTGCGTCCGAACACAGGCGGAGGGCGTAGAGCGCCGCTCTTCATTTTGGCTTGGCGTATTTCCGTGGTCCCGGCGCCGCACGCGCGCAGAAGTGTGGAAGAGGCGATCTCCATTGATTGTCGAAGTCATGCTCTGTGCGTCACCCTTGCGTGCACGAAGTGTAGCCAAATGGGTGTGGAGCATCCCAGCTTCGACGGAGGCGGCTGCACGCGGATCAGTTCCCCAAGGTTCCGCAGGGTGTGGAGCATCCTCATGCGGCTTAGAGTGTAGGCTTCTGCGTGCCGCCTTGGCATCGCTCGGACGTGTGCATTTTTCCTTCGTCGAGGACCATCGAGGAGCATCCTTTATCATTTGACGAAAAAGCCACGCACGAAACCGAAAAAAACACAGGGAATGGACGTCCGAGCGATGGCCAGGGAGGCACTCGGGAACTCTGGCCTGGGAAGAAAAAATCATCTATCGAAGACGTCTACGCCCACTGATCGCCAATGGGGGTCTGATAGCCCCACCCCGCCCAGGAAGGTGCAGTTTCGCAATCGGTTGCCTATCGCCGATCTATCGGCGATGTGCCGCCGATTCCAGGCCGATGCATCCCCCCCTATCCCAGTCCCCCCCTATCGTTGCCCCTCACTGCAGGGTCGGCAGATTTGAGAGCACGCCCTGAGCGAGACACCTTCGAGCCGAGGTGCCAAGTCCCCGCCGCGGCCAAAGAGGAGGAGAGGGGGGACGTCGGGGACCGCCTTGCCCTGCGCCTTCAGAGGAGGACGAGGCGCAGGATCAGTGGAGGGCGAGTTGAGACAACGGTAGCTGGCCTTCGAGGGCAGGGCTGGACCGAAACGCTGTCTCGCTGGACTTCGGCTGTGTTTGGTTTTTCGTTTTGGCGGGGAGGTACAGGACAACAGCAGGGCAAAACGAGCCACGCAGCGAAAGCAGAACGAACGACAGCGTCCAGGTCCGGCCCTGCTCGAGGGGGCCACCGCGCCGCCGTGGCTGGACGCCGCTCGGAAGCCTGGTGCGCTCGGACCTTGGGGGACGGGCCGGGGGACCCCCGGAGCTGCCGTGGCCTCAGCTCGTCCCGCTCCGGCCGCGGGGGCCACCATCGAAGGGCTCACCGCCGGGAGAGTGGTGCCAGCACGCTCGGAGGCAACGATATGGGGGGGGGGAAAGGGGGGAGGGAATCGGCGTAGAAAGGGGGGAAGGGAATAGGCCTAGAAAGGAGGGGGGGGGGAAAGAGGAAAAGGAAGGGGGGGAGGGGGGGGGGGGAGGAAGGGGGGAAGGGGGGGGGGGGGGGGGGAAGAGCGCAGAGGGGGGACGCATCGCCCCCCGTCGCCCACGGATCGCCGAGAGGGGGTCCGCCAGCCCCGCCCCGCACCAGCAGGCGCGGTGCCGCACTCGGGGGCCCGTCGCCGATCTCTCGGCGGCGGGCTGCCGAGTCCAGGCCGACGCCTGCCCCCCCTGGTGCCTGGGCATCGCTCGGGCGTGTGCATTTTTCCTTCGGCGAGGACCATCGAGGAACGTCCTCGATCGTCTGGCGAGGAGGCCACGCACGAGACCGAGGCAGGCACAGGAAGTGGGCGTCCGAGCGATGGCCAGGTGCCAGTCCCCCCCCCCCCCCCCCTATCGTTGCCCCTCAGGAGCGCGACCGCCTGCGAAAGATCTTGCCAGGTCCAGCGGGGCTTTGCTCACTTGCCGGTTTTGGTGACCGCCCCGTGAGCGGTGCTTCTGGGCCTCTTATAGATTTTGCCGGAGGGTCGACGTCGACGAATTTGACAGTTCCGAGGGAGGAGGAGCGAGGCGGAGGAAGGAGGAGGAGGCGGAGGAGGAGGCGGAGGAGGCGGAGGAGGAGGCGGAGGAGGCGGAGGAGGAGGCGGAGGAGGAGGCGGAGGAGGAGGAGGAAGAGAGGGAAGAGGAGGATGAGAAGGACGAGGAGGAGGAGGAGGAAGAGGAGGAGGAGGAGGAGGAGGCCCGGTAAGTCGGAAGCAGGAGCATATACATTGCCAGTGGCGGGCTGTGTTTCAATCCCAGGACTCTTGATGGTCCGGGGCGACGTCGGAGCGGTGTGGTGTATACCTCTTGTTCTGCTTCCCGGGGGGAAACAGACAAATGCACACTGAGATCCCGCATGCATCAGGATCCGCTTTCCCGTGCAATTTTCAGTGCAGGGCCAGAAAAAGCGTCGGTGTATAGAGCTCGTTTCCCTGGCAAGGTCCCCCAGAGGCCGAACGTATACCAAAAAACCTCTCCCGACGTGAGTTTTCGCGACAACTGTTCAGTCGGGCACGTCCCTCTTCAGGAGGAACATTCAAAAATAGTAGACACATGATCTGAGGACCGTTTTTTGATTTCAGACTGTTTTTGAATATTTTTGATTTTTTTGTTTCAGAGTGAGGGGGCCGAATGGTCATCCATGGTCCCTGCGTGCGTGGCTGAATAAGGAATTCGTGGTGAAATTTCTGCTTGTTGCGTTGTTGCTGCTGCTGTTGTTGGTGTTGTTGCTGTTGTTTTTGTTGGTGTTGCTGTGGTTGCTGTTGCTGTTGCTGTTGCTGTTGTTGTTGTTGTTGTTGTTGATGTTGATGTTGTTGTTGTTGTTGTTGCTGCTGTTGCTGTTGTTGTTGTTGTTGCTGCTGCTGCTGCTGTTGTTGTTGTTGTTGTTGTTGTTCGTTGTTCGTTGTTCGTTGTTCGTTGTTCGTTGTTCGTTGTTCGTTGTTCGTTGTTTGTTGTTTGTTGTTGTTGTTGTTGTTGTTGTTGTTGTTGTTGTTGTTGTTCGTTGTTCGTTGTTCGTTGTTCGTTGTTCGTTGTTGTTGTTGTTCGTTGTTCGTTGTTCGTTGTTCGTTGTTCGTTGTTCGTTGTTCGTTGTTCGTTGTTCGTAGTTTGTTGTTTGTTGTTTGTTGTTCGTTTTTCGTTGTTCGTTGTTCGTTGTTCGTTGTCGTCGTCCCACCCGCGACCCACCCTGCGACCCACCCGCGACCCACCCCGCGACCCACCCGCGACCCACCCCGCGACCCATCCGCGACCCATCCGCGACCCACCCGCCATCCACCCCGCGACCCACCCGCGATCCACCCCGCGACCCACCCTCAAGGGAGGAACAACTACCCGGACCCTACAATTGACGTTTACAAACGGCCTTGGACGTTGACTAAACAGCCCTGGCCTGTTCGATTCATTTCTTGTGTGCGTTTACTAAACGGCTGCGCTTGCCGGGGTGATTATTGTGGCGTGGATTTGCTGCCCTCTACACCCGCGACCCAACAGCGACCCACCCGCGACCCATTTGCGACCCACCCGCGTCCTACCCACATTGGTTTAACGAAAAAACCGGCGATCTGTGGCGGGCTCGTTGTATACGTTGTGGAATTTTGACACCTGCGGCGGGCTTTTCCGCAGCCTCGCAAACTGCCGACGTCCCCCCCCGCCCCCTCATTCTCATCCGCATCAGCGGGGTGTTATTTTTCTCCCCCCCCCCCTCCCCGTAGGTGGACATGCCCGACCTAAGACTACAGGGGGTCTGGGTCCGCCGCCCATCGACTCTGACCACCACCAGGTCCCCGGGTGACAGTGCCCGAGCCCCCCCGCGGGCGTCGCAGGTTATTCCCCCCCCCCCGTGGACCAACATGGGCTGGGCTCACGCCTCGCGAGGACACCCTCGTCCTCCTCCTATCCTTCCTCCTCCTATTCCTCTTGCTCCTCCTTCCCCAGCCATTCAGGCTCAAGCCACTTTGGCTCAAGTTCGAAACGGGCGTCCCTGGTGTTTCGAACTTGCTCGCTGCCAAGGGGGGGCTCGAGCAAAACCACTTCGGGGGTCGGTCGGCAGGCGACCCCGCAGGCATCTTTCTCTGCACCCGTCCACAGGCGACCCCGCAGCCATGCCTGCCGCCGAGCTGAAGGACATGCTCAACGCCATGCTCACGGAGCAGATTGCTGCGATCAAAGAGTCGGTCAAGACCGAGATCCAGACCGCCACCGCTGGACTTCAGGGCCAGATCTCCGCGCAAGGCGCTGAGCTGGCCGCCCTCCGAGCTGCCGCTCAAGCACAAGAGCTGCGATTGGGAAAAGTAGAAGCTAGTGCGAGTGCAACTCCGAGTATGGCATCCACATCCTCCTTTCGTTTCTCCGGGGCTGGTGGCACCCAAAGTCGGCGATTGGACGGTGCGATCGACCTCACTCGCGACTTCGAACAGGGCGACCCGTGCGTCAAGTTCGTGGGTTGTTTTCCTCGTCCACTGCTGCTCACAATTCGTGAAGCTCATTTTGAGCAGTTGAAGGTTCGGTTTCCTGACGAACTTGGAGATGGCAGACGCGTTGAAGTCCAGTACCATGGCATGTCGCACGTGTGCAAGGTCAAGTTCCTCCGTGCTGACACCGCGGCCGCGTTTCAGAGAAAGGCGAACCAGGTCGAGCTCTCTTGGCAGGACTCCGCGACCAATCCATCCACCCCCTGAGGGTCAGGGGGACCTCCCGCTTCGCGTGCGCCAGGAGGTGCGGGCCTTCTCCAGCATCTGCACGTACCGTCTGTCAATCAGCTCCTCCTCGAGGGTGGACGTCCGCCTGCATGTTGGGTGTCAACGGCCACAGGGGCGCGCTGCAGGTGGCCACCGACACAGACGCGCACGAGCTCGTCTCTGCCAAGCAGGCGACGGGCGACAATTTCACCTTCGAGCAGTTCAGGAATGCGTTCAATTTCTGGGGCATCAGCGACGAGCAAGCGCAGACGCTCATCGAGGACTTGTGAAACGCTCTCTCGCAGGCCGACGCCCCATCGGATGGAAGCGCGGTGGGTGATGTGGCTTCCGGCTTGTTCCTTGATGGCCTGGGGGCCACGGGGCGCAGCTCCAAAGCCGACAACGTAGTGCAGCGGCTATCGCTGCCGCTGCTGTTATCTCAGGCCTGCAGTGAAACGGGCGAGTTGATCGTGGGTCCCGCCCCCGCTTCTTCATTGTCTTCCTCCGCCTCCGCGGTCCAAATAAATGTCTTGGGGGGGAAGGGGGGCCGCGTCGTTTTCCGTTTCTCCCCATATCCTATTTGCCCACCTTCCAGCTCCGCATCGCCACGTGGAACTCGCAGGCTCTCAGTGGCTCCGCGCGGGCTGACCTGGCCCGTCTTCGCCACGCATTTCACATGCTTCACGAGCTACAACAAAACGAGATTTGGGCGGCACGAGAGACCCATGGGACCGAGGGCGACCTCCTCCTCCGCAGGGGCTGCGAGCAGCACGCGGAATCCGGTTCTTTCCGCAGCGCCGCGAACTCTGGCGGCCCCCCCCATATTTGCCCCCCCGCAGTTGCAGCGATAATTTTCTAGCAATGTATTTCGCGAGCTCGCGCCCGGGCGCGTTGCTCCTCCCCGGCTCCGAGGGCCACGCGGGACATTGGCCATTGTCGACGTGCACAGTGAGCAGGAGGTCCCAGATCCCAGGGGCTGCGACCAGTTCAGGACTGCGCGGCGCGCCGTTCCTCCTTCCGGCCCCCCACCCCACCTTCGTCCTGAGAGATGCCAACTGTCTGGAGATCGATATCTCACGGTCGAACATCGCCGCAGGTGCGGAGCGTTTCTCCCGTCACAGGCGCGCGGCGGCCGTCGGGGTTTGTTGTGCTGTGTTCGCAGGGCTCGAGCAGGACCCCTGCTCCCACTGGCGCATCGCGTCCTCGCCGACCTCTGCCCCCCCCTGCGCTCGGCTTGATCGGGCCCACCACAAACCGCCCCGCCGCCGACCTTCCTCGATTTCCACCCGGGCAGCTTGAGATTGTTGCCGCTTCTCCGCCCTCTCTGACCTCGCCCCCGTCTACCTCCTCCTCGAACCCTGGAGACCGAATGAAGATCTCTGCCTGCTGCCGTGGGTTTCAGGCGCCCCTCGTATGCTGGGAAGCTTGAAGAGTTTGCCAGTGGTCAAGATTTTAGCGATGGCCCGAGCGCTCGCCCCCTCGAAGTCGAAGCAACCGCGGTCGCTGCAGGCCACGAGTGCGAGCTCTAAAAGCATCGTTCCAAAGCGGAGAGTCGCCGAGATAATATCGCCCGTGACCTCAGGCTCGCGCGCGCCCGCAGAGGCAACGTCAGGGGCAGTGTGAGGAAGGCTCTTCGTGCGCGCCCGATCCTCGGAGTTTTGCAAATGTGATTTTTGGTAGTTCACCCATTGGTCTGGAGTCCGTCGCCATCCTTCTCAGCTTATGCAAAAAGAGCTTGAGGAACAAGGGCGCGCTTTCCGAGCTGATGCCAGCCTGCAATCTAGCGCTGCCGAGTTTCATCTCAATCGCGATCGGCGACTGGCGCGGAGGATTTCCACGCTTCTAAGATCGCCCTCTAGCCGAATTCGGATTTCGCGGATCTAGATCACGTCTGCGAATCGGTCGGAGATGCTCGCCACATTGCTCCATCGAGCAGACAACGAACTGATCGGTGGCGCGATCGCGTCACCGATCGCCCAGGTTGCTCGCGATTGGCTCCATGGCCGCCAACGTGGCTTCATCAAAGGTCGTCAGATCATCGGCCGTGCTCTCGAGGTTGACTTTAATAACTGAAAAGCGTGCTGGGGGGCGCTTCTTCGACTGCCGCGCAGCATTGCCGCCACCGCACCATCGGCGGTTATTCAGGGTCGTGCTCGCCTACAATTTGTCCCAGTTGATGGTCATTGCAATCGCTCTCCTCTACGCATCCACGAAGCGTGCAATTTCTCTTCGCGGCGCTGACCCTATCTCCTCTCTGGCCCAGAGAGGGCTCGAGCAGGGCCGCCCATTCTCTGGCGTTCTAGTCGCGATCGCCTTCGATCCGCCCTCGAGGTTTTTGCGCGCCCCCCCCCATCCGAGCCCCCCGAGCAGGTCGCAGCGTTTGCCGACGACCTTAGTCTCGCCGCCGCCGGCGTCTACCGTTTCCCCCCGAAGGACGTGCGCCAGGTCGGGTCTGGGCCTCTCCTGAACGCTAAGAAATGCGCCATTCGAAGTACTGATTTTGGTACTCTCCCCGGCGCTTTGGCTGAATTTCGGCGCCCTGGGACTGGCGTGGGCCAGTTTATGATGTAGAATCGCTGCAAATGCTTGATTCGGGGCGGGATGGCCCGCGGCTTTCTGGGGGCCTGTGGCCCCCGAGTTGACCCAGGGGTCCCTGCTGGTCAAAAATTTGTGGCAAGGTCTTACCATCGGCATTACTGTCCCTAATCATGGCGTACATTCTGCTACCGGTTACATCTATCAGGGCACCCGCCCTTCTGCTGTGTACAGGTATTATTATTATTACTATTATTATACTACTACTACTACT